CACCATCACTGATATCATGGCCAGCAGAGATCAGTTCATCATCTAGAAGGACCTGAACTCCCTCAAAAACCCTCTTAAGATAAGGAACATCCTCAAGGTCAGGACAGTCATTTCCAATTTGGTCAAAAGCTTGAGCAAGAGCAGACCCCCCTAATCGCCGCTTTCCCTTTGCCAAATCAATGTGAAGCAACACACCATCATCTCCAAGCTTCAAATCAGGGGTTACTGTTTTTGTTATGTCAGGACAAGTGCAATAAACACTGATTACAAGATTTCCAGGAGCCTTAACAACCTCACCTGCAACATGGGCTGCCATTGAAAGACTATCCTTTCCCCCATCAATAGCAATACCAAGTTTGATCATAGCGTCTGAAAGAGCTGTAGCAGCATCATACATGGCTGCACCTTCTCCATCAAGCTTGGCTGCATACATCCAATTCCCACTTGCTTTAACATCAGATAGAGAAGTGACCTTTGCCCAAACAAGATTTGTGAGTGCTTCTCCAACAGACAATCTCGCCATTGCTTTTGGATCCAGCAAACCTTTGATTGGCTGCTCTCCAATAGCACATGCACCTCCAGTCAAGTCAGTAAAAGTCTGAGAGATTACTGCAACATCAGAGAGAGGAATTTGCAGGGGCCCAACAGTTTGCTGCTGCGCTACAAGACCTGTAACACACCTGTCTACTTTTGATGTCAAAAAGCGCTTTGAACAGACAGATGGAAGTCTCAATACCCTACTAAGCAAATCCATCACTGTGATTCCTGGAGCAATATCAAGTGACTCTCTTGAATCAGTCATCCGGTGGAATTCAAAGGTTTTTTGTGGCATATCACCAAGTACTTTCTCAAGCTCCAAATCAACGGCAAGAGGAGGGGGAGGGAGTCCACTTGAATGGCATCTTTGAATAGCGAAGCTATCAATTAAAACAATACGCCCCTCACCATTTATACTTCCAATAACAGCCATCGAAACCCTCTCTCTTTCACATATTGATTGCAAAAGATCGCGGCTTTCAGGCTTCACCAAGATTGCATCTTGCTCCTGATATTCTGCACCCCATATCTCCAAAACAGACATTGTGTGATCACCAACTACAATTGCCCGGATATCAATCTGACCACCCTTTGGATAAATGATTTCCTTAACAACATTGCAGTTTCCACCAGCTCCCTGATCATGAATGCTAATGATTGGATTATTCTCCCCCATCTCTATGCAGGAACGAACCACACGATACAATTTTTGAGCCATCTCCGCATCTCCACGCTGTACAGCATTAAAATCAAGCTCAGCATCATTTTGACCACTAACCATGCTTGATGCAGCCCCACCACCCATTCCAATACGATAAGCAGGGCCTCCAATCTTTACTACCAACATGCCAATGTCAGGCTCTCCTTTTGATATATGGGTGTGATCAATCTGACCAATGCCTCCACTAAACATGATTGGCTTCAACCATTCTCGTCTGTCCCCACTTGGGAGTCTCATTCCAAAAGTTCTAGTGTAGCCCTGAATCAAGGGCTCACCAAATTTGTTACCATAGTCTGATGCACCATTGCTAGCATCTATTAGGATCTGTAGAGGTGAAGCCAAATTCGATGGATATGCAAAAGATGAATCTTCCCAAGGGGCATAAGATCCCTCCATATTGAGATTCCCAACACAATAACCAGCTGTAGCTGCTACAACATAAGAACCCCTTCCAGTTGCATGGGTGTCCCTGATTCGACCTCCAGCACCTGTCTCTGCACCAGGGTAAGGTGCTACAGCACATGGGAAATTATGGGTCTCGGCAGTAAATAAAATATCAAGCTCACGATTAGCTATGTTCAACGGACTTGTTGAACCTGGCTGAACTGGTCTCATTTGCTTCACAAGAAAGCCCTTTATTGCACTTGAGTTATCCTTGAACCCAATCACAGAATTGTTTGGATTTGCTTGCAGAGTGCTCTTCACAATTTGCATTAGAGTTCTATCCATTGGCTGTCCATCTATAATAATTTTACCAGTAAAAAACCAATGCCTGCTATGCTCACTATTGGATTGTGCAATATCAAACAGTTCAACTGTTGTCGGATTCCGCTTGATATCCTCCCTGAACAGCCTAGTGTAGTATTGGAGATCTTGCTCATCAAATGCCAAACCCATTTCCTGATTAATCTCCTCCAATGCCTTTCTACCTCTCTCCATTACAGGAATACAACGAACTTCTTCCGGAACCACACTCGTTTCAAAGGAAGTGAGCTTCTGGGTATAAACACACTCAGTCATCCGATCATGCACCATTGCAGCAAACTCATTAACTTGATGATCAGGCAATGTACCTTTGCTAAACAACAAGTACCGCCTCGACCGTTCCAAACGAGTCACCTCTGACAACCCACATGCTTTACAAATTGACACAGCATTAGAAGACCAAGCTGTCGTAAACGACAACCGAGGCCCAACCTCAACGATCACTGTATTTAACCCATCCTGCTTTTTCTTTTCAAGAAAGCTCTCGGCCCCAAAATTCTCAGGCTCATAAGTCTCCTGAAGAAGCCACTTAAGAACCGAAAGCTTTTCACTAGAAAGCTGCAAATCAAGCCCAATGTTGAAACACTGCTCAGTTTTCAAACCAACTATCTGATTCGAAATTTTCGTCTTAACTGTCTTGAGAAGCTCGGATTTTGCACTCTCCTGAATTAGTGGGACACGATAAAAATGAGTAACTTCCGAAGCAGGTCTCTCAATCAAGCTTGATTGCTCATCTTTCGACACGCTTAGACCACCAGAAATAACAGCTCTGGGCTTTTGTCTACCACGACAACTCAATAAAACATTCTTCTTACCAAAACCCAGTGCTGAACTGCGACCCTGAAGCTTGCCCCAAAGGACATGACTTCTTTGTTTCACAGAGTTTCTATGCAAGAACAGGCTTTGCCTATTGGTACCCTGAAATGAATATTTTTTAAACAAAAAGAAAATTTTCAAAAAAAGTCACTTTCAATGAAGAGTTTTCATATGATGTTACAATTTTATAGGAACCAAACAAGGATAATGAAGATTACGAACCTGTAAGAACTCAGCAGCCGTTATTTCCCGAACACCAGCCATCGCCTCGACCTTTAAGGAACTGAAAAGAAAAAAGAAACTATCAAACGCATTGATTAACAATATTGAGTTCAAATTGGAAGAAGACAATAAACACGAAAAAAAAAATTGCAAAAAAATGCTTACCTTGGAGATGAAGTTGCAGGAAATCGAAGAATAAGGAAGATCAGGGGTTGCGAGAGAGAAAGAAAGATTTCGGAAGATTTGGGAGAAGGTGGCGCGAAGGAGAATAGGGCTGAGAGACCCCAGAGTAAAGTCCAGGGATGTTTTGGTAGAGGAGGCGAGGCTGCTTCAGCCTTAAGCTTGAGAGTTCAGTTCAGTCAAAATAAAATTAAGAAAAAGGTTTGTTTTTCTTTTGTAATAAAAAAAGGTTTGATTAATTAAACGGCGCCACTGGGATGAGGGAGTACAGTGGGAGCCCACAGCCTTTGCATCAGGTTAGCTTGGTTTGGTTTTGCGGGGTGAACTTCTTATCAATGAAATTGAAAATGGGAAATGTTTATTCCCGTGTTTGGAATTAACTTTTTAGGAATGAAATCGGATATAGAAGATGTTCACTATCGTGTTTTTTCGTGTTTGGTTCGTGAACCATTAGCCATTAGAAATGAAAAGTTATTAAGCTTTTCAATAATAACATTTATTTTTCTATTTAAAGACATTAATGAAAAATGAAATTCGAAAATTAGAATATGTGTAATTTAGTCCCCAAAAAAGTGCATTAAATGAATTATGGCTTCCTTTTAAATTAAGAATTTGATTTTTCTAACATAGTTTCATAGGTTTCCCGGCATAATTTAGGGATTTGTTTTTAGTGAGTAAAAATCATAGAGGTTCACTTTAAATTGGGGCATTGTTTCAAATTAAGGGTTTTTTTCTTTCCCAAATTCAATTAAGGACTTGGTTTTTCGAAGTTAAATTCATAGGTTCATAACCTAATTTAGGGCATGTAGTTAATTTATTTCGTGCATCATTACACCATATGGTGGGTGGGATAACATGTCTTGACGGACTCAATAGGCACACAACATGCGGGCAACAACGGTGGGAAACCAACCACTCACACCAATAACTCTTCTCTAATTACTTATCAATCTAAGTGCATCAAGGGTTCTTTAGCTCGCACACACCACGTCAATGTGCTCAAAGGCTCACTTGTCTCTTGTTCTTATATCTTCAGTGTCACTTTAATAAAATTCCGGATTGTCTATATTTCAAGTCATCCTTCAAAGGTTATTCGTGAAAAAAAAATAATTCAAAGTCGAAAGTTGTTTTAGTAATCTAAAAGGTATATTCCATTTTAGACAGTGAGTGTCGTATATATTCCGTCATTGAGGTTTCACAGAACGTGCTTGATTCCTTACCAAAAAAGGAAACAAAGAGTTCAAACCAAAAAAAAAAAAAAGGAAACAAAGAAGATTACAGCAGCAGCCGAAATAAGTTGGTTGCAGACCATCCTCCTTGATTCCTTCAACGCCACCAAAAACCATATCTCTATGACAATGTTGGTTGCGGGGGCCCACACGAATACAAAAGCAGAAAAGGGAGAAATCATCGAAACAAAACCCAGCAAATTTAGAGCACTTGAATGTCTCCCATGTTGCCAAATACGCCTCTCTGACTGCCTGACCCCTCTCTTCCCCTCCACCTCTGTTTTCCACAGTGCCACACCACCGCACTACCACACTTTCATGTCATCTTCCAATCCAAGGCATCCTTCACCACGAAGCAACTGCATTGCCTAAGCCTTCAAAGGCACAATATATATACACACACTGAAAAGAGGGATCTCTCATAAGCTTATTTGAGAAACACTCATCGATAACTCATTTCTTCAAGTATTTCATTAATCCAAATCGTTTATTTTGTAGATATTCAAAAACTATCTATTAAAAAAAATACTTCAATATCCGTTTTATACCGTTTCAACACAGTAAGTCCAAAACCCATAAGCCCAAAATGAATTTTATATAATTATTCATTTCCTCTTCCCAAGAAAATCACCTAAATAAACAGATCACATACCATTCCCTTCTTCTTTTCAAGTCACTCTGGTTGGCTCCGCTTCGCTTATTGTCTATCCCCTCAAGGACATGGCCGCTGCTGCTGCTAATCCAGCAAGAAAGCGGTTCATCGCGTTTCTTGGGGGCTGGTTGGAGCGTCAGCAAACCTTCCTCGATCAGCTCCTTCGTTTGGTGGATTTACCCAGCTCAGAGAACAAGGCCCACCAACAGAGGCATTTGATCGAACAAGTTCTATGCCACTACCAACAATACTTCTCAGAAAAGGACCTGACCGCGGAGGAGGACGTTTTCGTTCTGTTCTCTCCGCCGTGGCTGAGCTCGTTCGAGCGGACCATGCTCTGGCTTGCTGGGTTCAAGCCCTCATTGGTGCTGCGCATGGTGGACAGCTCGGTGGAGGACTTGACGGAGGAGCAGGCGAGGAAGATGGAGGCGGTGAAGGGCGAGACGCGGTGGGCGGAGAGGGAGCTGTCGGAGAAGATGGCGAGGATACAGGAGAGCGTGGCTGCGCCGCCGATTCTAGCGCTGGCGAGGAGGGTGGGTAGGCTGATGGACGGCGAGATTTCGTCGCTGGATTTGGCAATGGAGACGCTGAAGACGGCGATGCTGGGGGTTTTCGAGAGCGCCGACGGGCTTCGCGGGTCGTCGGTGAGGAAGGTGGTGGAGGTCTTGAGGCCCGAGCAGACCGTGAAGGTTTTGGCGGCAGTTGCTCAGTTTCAACTCGGAATTAGAAGGTTGGGGTTGCAGAGAGACTCTGAGCAGCAGAGCTAACGTTGGCATTTTGGCATTTGGATGGATCATATCATCAAAGCTTTAAATAATTTCTTTGTGTTTGGGGCCTTGATTGAGTTTGAAAAATGGCAAATTGTATTTTAGGCCGAACTGGCCTTTTTCTCTTTTCCTTTCGTTTTTTATTTGCTTTTTTCTTCTTTTATTTTCTACTTCCCTGAATAAGTAGATTCAGTTCCTCCAGGGTGTTTAGCAAAACATCATCTACTGGGATTTTAAGTATGATATGTTATGTTGTTACACGTTAATTTCAAGGTCGATATGTCATATTATTATTATTATTTTTGGTGGAAGTCGATATGTTATATTGTTAGACGTTAACTTCAAGTCTAAAATATTATGTTATAGAAGCTAACTTCAAATTTAATATTTAGCTTTAGCCGAGCGTGAGCTTGAGTAATATTATTAGAGTTGAGTTTGAGAACTTTGGTATTTGGCTTAACTTAATTCATTTATACCTTTAAATTTGGCATGTTATGTTATCAAATGTTAAATTTACAATTGAGTAAATGAAATCATGCAGTAATTTCTTTTATAGATAAACAAAACAGGCCATTAAAAATAAAAATAAAAAACCTCTCATAGATATTGAAGTGCGTGCAGAGAGGCTAGTATTTGTTAGGCAATAACTGCCAATGTCAACCAACATGTACGTGGAGCTTGTATGGCCATTTAGGCGCACAATAGACATTTTTAATCCTTTTATTTAAATATGCAATAGACAACCAAAATCTCCTTGTTGCAGGAATTATATATAATAGTATGGTCCTAGATATGTCAACAACACAAAAATATGATCTCAGAAAAACTTGCTTTCCTTTCGACCAACAAAAAAAGAAATACTTACTAACCCAAATCCTATTTACGCACATAAATTGGTCCATTGGAGATGAAGCCCTCCTTGCCATGAAGCCTTAAACAAGGCCCTTCGACACAATGTTGGGTTTATAGTTCACTTAATACCCATGCGATGAGAGTATATTAAGGGGTTCAATCTAGCCGTCAAATGTTGAGGAATTTATTGATCGAACGAGAATTATAAATTCCCTCATTATAATCCTTCAACATAATCCCTTATTATATAATCTCAATGCTCTACCTGAGCATGATAAGAATTTTGAAGTCAGGAATCCAAGTAGTTTTGGAAAACTACTGGACATTTTGGAAAATGCCAAAGGAGAGAGAAATATTTTTAAAAGAAGTTAAAATGGACAAAAATGCCCTTATTTATTTTTGGATTTCCTAAGAAATCCAATACATTTACATATTTTTGGTTTGATAGTTGATGAGTTTTTCTGTATTTTTTGGAAAAATTTTGGTTTTTTTCGAAAGTAAAAGTTTTTTTTATGACTAAAACCTAAATTTACTTTTTGGATACTAGCTTAGCCCATCATGCATAGCAGAGATTTTAGTTAGGCGAGGTTTGTGCAAATATGTCCATTCATACAAAAAAATTGTCAATGCATCCATTTTTGCGTGGTCTCCAGATGAGCCACTCACCAAGATCTGCGGATTCTGAAATGTGCAAGTGGAATCCAAATGGTGATAGCCCAATGTCATCCGGGCTACCTCAGCTTATAGCTTATGCCAACTTTCAGGCTGAGCGGGCCTTGCACTAAAGTCCAAACATATGTATGAAATTCCATTATCACCATCGACCAAATGCAAATGTGAGTTAGGTTAGTTAGTCATAATAGTGAGTCAATTTGCTTGCACCTTAACTCGAGCGCCTCCTCGTAAATTAGATTAATTTAGAGTATCTTAGATTATCACTTGTATAATAATAAAAATAAAAAACTATGATAAAGGGTTGTGCATTGTAATTATATAATTTTAATGAACTATGATAAAGTTAACCACTATGTTATTGAGCTCAAGCATGGCTTATTGTCAAGTGGGGAAGGGAGATCTTGGGGTACACATTAGTGGTTTCAACGAGGATATGGCTTTCATACTTTGCCTACAGATATGCTTCACCCAGAAACAATAATCTGTTGTAATGATACAAGTGATAGGATTTTTAGTACCTGCGCAAACAGGGTTAAAATCACTGAAAATACTTGCAAGAATACAAGGTAATTGTAGTATAAATGCTCATGCAAGGTCGTTGTCCCCAAAGATTGTTTGACTAATCTGTAATTAAACTAACTCTTAATTAATAACTAAAATA